TGGCTGAAATAAGTTCCAAGATGTCAAGATTGGACGAAGTGCTGAATCTTGCTAAGGCGAATGACTTAAAATTACAGAACCTCCAGAAAAGCATAAATGCAGTACAAGCACAAAGCACAGACACAAAAATAAAAAAAATAAATGACCTCGAGGAGGACCACAACCAGCGTAACAATCTGTTCATCTTCGGCCTATCTGATGTACCAAATAAAAATCAAACGCTCCTAAAATAAATAAATAAATAAAAAAGGTAGAGGTTTTGTTATACTTCTTTAGGTATCACGGTTAATTCGGTAAAGTGTGTACCCACCGCTTGGGCCAGAAAAAGAAAAAAAAAAAGATAAAGCTGTGCGTCCTGTCATCAGGAAATTTTAACACTCTAAAGAAGAGATCGGCAATCTTTAAAAACTGCTCAAAGCTGAAAGAATCAACTGCTTCGACAAGCGGCGACTGCTCACGGGACACGATCGCAAAACGTAAGAAACTTTGGGAAAACGCAAGGGACTGTAAACAAAACACCTCAAAGGTGAAACTTGCTAAAGAAAAACTTAGGATTGACAACGAACTTTTTTTTACTGAGATGAGAGTAGAAACTTTAGGGTAAAAGTCAACACGAGGGCAACCGTAGCGGGCTCTGACTGACAGGCCACTCCTACCCAGCATCCTTCAAAGTAATGAGCCTGAATGCAAGAAGAAGTATACTAAGCAAAACGGAGGACGCCGAGAACCTCCTCCTGGCACATGAGCCGTATATAGTTGTTAAAGAGACATGAGAATCAAGGGCTCCTTAGGGGGTGGTGTGCGTTCTACTCTTAGAAATATTTATTTTATCCTGTTTGAAAAATCTGTTAATATCGAATCTATATGGCTGAAGTGAACACTTTAAAGGGATGCTACAACAAAATATCGGCGCTAATACGCGGGCTTGACGTCACGGAGCTGCGGCGGCGCTGCGATCGCGCCGGAGCCGTGTGGTGTGGGCAAAAGGGCGCACGTTTTGCGTGGGCGTCGTAGCATTTCAGCATGCCGCGAAGCTGTGTAGCCGTTAGTTGCACCGAAAGGTACAGAAAAAGTAGCGGGGTGTGTTTCCCCAAGTTCCCGGCTGACTCTGAAAGGCGCAGAAGGTGGATAATATCCGTGGATCGAAAATAATAGTTGCCTCGCGCGGTAGCTCTGGCTTTTTTTTTTTTTTTTTTTTTTTTTTTTTGAGGGGGGGGGGGGGGGGGGGCAGGGGGCAAGACTACGCCACTGCTCACGCCAGCGCTCTGTTTTGTATATGTGCCTTTGGGTTTTTCTTCTCCTTTGCCCGTATCATGTTGCAGCCATGGGAAAAGAGAAGAGGGTGGTCGAAATCGGGACCTGGCGTCCTCTTTTGGACAATGCAGTTCTGTGATACTCTGTTCGCACCATGTCAACAACGATACTCCCTAGGGCCATAACTCACGCGGGAGAGGCGTGTCGGACCGTCCTCGTTGACACCATCGTGTTCACACGCGTGAAACTGTCGAATATCTGTGACATGGTGGCACACTTTGCTGTTGCTGGCTCCCGGCCCAGTTGCTTGAAAGGGCCACATTTCGCACCCAATCCCACTTTTTTTATATGACCGTGTATGACATTTTATATGACATTTCGCACCCAATCCCACTTTTTTTATATGACCGTGAGCTGATGGTGGTCAGGAGTGAAAATGGACATCAGAAGTTTTTTTTAAACCGAAAGCTGACAGTGATAATGACAATCTATCTTGTGCAACGAAGAAGCACGTGACCTCAGAGCCGTGTCATGACCTGCAATCTATCGATGTATCTGCTGTCTCCGTCACTCCTGAGCATCCTCCGGCTTTAAAGAGCCAGCCGAACATTGGCTTCGCCCTCAACTCGACTTTCACGGGTATGTCAAACTCGTCTTTAAGAGTATTCATGCAAAGCTGAGCTTGAGTTTATCAGGTATATAACAGCCAATACAAAGATAAGGACCAGCGGGCTAAAATTTTACTCCAGTTCTGAAATGAGACAGAGCGAGCATGGCAAGCTAAGGGAACCGGCGTCGAGAAAATACGGAAAGTTACAATGGCCACTTACCCTCCGGCGGTAGCCCTGCCGTGCTAGCTTTCCAACACAGCTAACGCAGCTTTCAGATGTCTTCCACGGACCACAACCCGGGAAATGCTTCGAATTAATATTACGAGCGAAGACAGTTTTGTGCAGAAAATTAGATTTAAATTTGAACATAGGCCAACTTGGGGTAGCTTTTAAAAACTTGTATAAACGTCAAATGTTGTTAAATATGGAAATAAAAGGGTACCGTTCATTGCTGCGACAATTTATTATGTGTGCGCGTGACTTATGTGCACTGTCTTGCTATTTCATTGTGTACGTACGGTCAGGCACATAGCCAGGATTTTGTTTCGGGGGGAGGGGGGGGGGGGGCGCCCATGACAAAGTGCTGTATGAGGGGGAGGGGGGGAGAGGATGTCCCAGCAAAATGAAAGATTTCGGGGGGGGAGGGGGGGCCGGGCTAACGTCCCTGGATAAAACGCAGTGAAAAAACATCGAGGGACTTTAGGCCGGGCCCCATGCACCCCCCCCCCCCCCCCCCCCCCCCCCAACCCAGGCTACGTGCCTGCGTACGGTACGTACGCATATGATGCCAATACTTTTCATTAAAATCTCTGAGATAATTATAAACTAAGTGGACTGCTTTGTGTTCTTGCCGCGCGATAGACTAAATTCCTTATTTTTTTCACTGTGCCTGTACATATCTATAAAAATATTTTTTTTTCTGACGTCGAAATTGCTGATGCATTGTACTTTTTAAAATAACTGTTTTATAAAAATATGTGTATCTTGGAAGCTTACGTATTTCACTGTGGGATCCTCCCCCCCCCCCCCCCCCCCCCCTTCTTCCCCTTGAGCGCACACACCCAAAAAGGGCTGTCAGTTTGCCCCCCCCCCCCTCCCCTTCCCCCAAGACAAAATCCTGCCGACGCCCATGCAGTGGTGGCGTGAACAAATGAAAATCTTTTTTGTCGAACCAGCGTGACAAGTCAATCAGTGGGACCAGTTCAACCACCATGACCAGTCAACCAGTATGACCAGTTCAACCATCATGAAACTGGTCAAACTGGAGCAATAACCAAGTTTGAAACTGGTACCAGTTTGAGTTGTTATTCATATATTAACATATGTTAATAACAACCCTCTACAAATTGTTTCTGCGTACAAATATCTTGTAGTACACTTTACTTCTGATCTGAAGTAGAATGTACACGTTGATTCTATTGTTCGGGAAGCTCACGGTAAACTTTGGTATTTGAATTACGCAATCTGAAGTATGCTTCTTTTGATACAAAAATCACTGCTTACAAAACCTTGATTCGACCTGTTCTTAATCATGCCTCCCAGGTATGGGACCCTGATACGGCTATAAATATTGACAAGTTAGAAAGAGTGTAGATATATGCATTGCGATTTATTTACAATAAATTCAAAAGAAACGAATCTAGCTGTGACGTCACTTATGACAAAGCCCAACTGAGTTACTATCCTTAAGGCGCCGTACAGCGAGGATAAAGTTTTTATACACGCTTCTGAATAGCAATTTTAACATTGATGCTTCAAGATATTTAACTCCACGACTGATCCGAGCTACACGAAGCATGCACAATAGGGCGCTGGTTCAGTATCTTTGTCTTACTGACTCTTTTAAATTCACTCTTTTTTCCCCACGAACAAACGAAGAGTGGAACAGCCTTTCCGAAGTACAGGTAAACTCGTCATCAGTTGGATCATTTTTAAAAACATTGGAAGGCTGTCCGTAAAAGGTTGACTGTTTTGTTTTATTTTGCTGTTTGTTGCATTTCTATATTATTATTGCGTATTCACTACATTTCATTATTTCCTTGTAAAACTTTTTGTGCAATAAAATGTATCGACCCTAAATGCAGCTCTAGCGAAGGTGCATCCAGCATATATGAATATAAGCTAATTGTTTGTTTGGTTGTGTTTAGCATTTCTGATCGCGTATCCCCAGAAAGACAGCATTAGAATTTAGTGCCCGCGTTCCTATCAACTTGTAGTGCTTTCAGAGAGGGCACCAAAATAAAACAATAATAAAAACGAACATCGTATGCTTTGTTGTATTTTTGGCGTTTACATTTATTCCATCTGTTCGTTTAAACAACATTCAGCGCACTTTTACTGGCACTGAAAATGCGATGACACACACGCACACACACGCACGCTCGCACGCACACGCACACACACGCGCGCGCGCACACACACACACACACACACACACACACACACACACACGAGGAAGAATGCTAACCGCTGCGCGGCTCCTGAAAAAACGTAAGTGTTATGCAATTACTGCTCGCAATTAAAGATCAAGTTTGCCGCTCTTTCGCTTGACTGATCAGTGCCGCCGCCGAACGGCCGGTGAATGAAACGCTTCCGACATTTTCCCCAGATAGCCACGTTCCCTAGTTCGCGTAGCTCCATTTTTCCCTCCCAGGTAAGCAACAACGGTCCGTGGCGGTAGCTTCGCAAGCCTGTGGAATGCTGTCAGGCCGGCTACCACACCAGCGGAGGAGGGGGGAACGGATTTTGCGAGCAACGAGCAACAAACAGAACAAAAAAAATCAGCCGCTCTTTCTTTGCTTCATTTTTTTCTTCCTTCATTTTCCGCCTTGGCCCAAAAGAACGCTCGCCGAAACGTCGCAGCCTCCGTCGCCGCCGCCTTCGCCAGCGCTCTACCGAAGACGACGTCGCTCCAGTGTGATCTTTGACGCTCGTCCCTGTCCCAAAGTGTTGTGTCCGTGGTGTGTTCTTCGGTTTGACGCGTGAACCGGGATACCCCCCGACGGAGAATGGATACGAGGCCGTGCTGCTGCCGCGCCTCTCCGTAGACCCGCCGCCGACGCCGCTGCGATGGAGTACGCCAACGGTGCGGCGGTCGGGACGCCGACCGTCGACGGAGGCTTCAGCCAGATCGGCATGAAAGCCCGCTCGCCCGAAGGACATGCGGCCAGGGCCATGCAGATTCGAGGTGAGCACATGCCGTGGTCACTAACATGGCTTTGGTAACGGTGGGGACGTTGCTTGCTTACGGGCACCTTGTCACCTCCGTCCGTCTTTGTCGCGAAACCGAACCGTTGCCACCGGTGCTGTTTCGGCCGCGCGTGCGTTTTGAAAACTTACTGCGGTGACGTAGGGAGCATTGGGGGCTTGGCTTTGCTCCGGTAGACGCAGCCAAGCAGACAATAGACGGTAAATGATCATATTACACCCGGCACTTGTCACGTCGGGAGCGAAGACTAGTATTTCTTGAGTCGGGCAGCCTTTGCTAGTTTGGTTCGTTTGTGGCTGATCGACAAGTTTGTGTGAAGACTTTTTTCTTTATTTTCTAGTTGATGGGTGTGTCCGTTATCTTGGAACCTCCTTTTCGTTTTAATACATCAGCTTCCTTTTTATTTCGAATCGTTCCAGCGAAGTCACAATGGAAGCGCAGAGCTGTTTTCGCAGCACGTGATCTGTACGATCTCAGAAAAGGTCGCGTACTCTCTGGATGTTCCGGCGGATAGCTGAGCTCATGCGTCGCACTCTGAAAATAAATATATCCTCTTGGAAACTCGCCAAGACGCCCGATTTCGGAATGCAACGTTTTTTCGAGCCAAAGTAATATTACGAGTGCCAAATAGAAAAACTGAAGGCGATAGCGGATCGACAGCCGCATGGTGCATGCTGTCATGATGATGGTAATCTGATCCGCGTTTTGAATTGCTCTGGTTACAGAGCGGTTTTCTGCTTCGTTGAATATTTCGGATTTCTTGGCAACGCGTTCACTCTTCAGAAATCTTTCCAATGTTCAAAAAAAAAAAAAAAACGAAATTTTTAAATAATGCTATACTTTGTTTCACCTAAAGTGTAGGCACAGCTGACGCTACGAGCTTAGCATTTGCTGAACCCCCCAAGCGCCCGGCCCGCACTCGAGGAATCATAGGAAAGGTGTTCCCTAATGATCGATAATTTCGACCAATTCGATGCTTACACAATTTGGAGTGTAATCCGGAGTCATCCTGAACAAGCGTCTTGTGGATTGCAGGCACCTGTTGTATTTCTTCTAAAATTTATCATCAATGTCAACCCTTTTCACGCTGTGCAAGCATTCACCTTTCAGCCTGTCTGAGCTGCAAAAATCTCTTACAATATTATCATTCTCGTACAGCTTCAAAGACGCTGCTAAAAATGCTATAAGCAGCCCCGCTGACCCCCAGCTAAATCATGGTTTTGGTTGTTGTGAATTTTTGGCTTTTTAAGCAATTCCTGCTAAAACAACAATCACGAGAACGATATAACATGTTAAGAGATTTCTGCAACTCAGCCAGGTTGAAGGTTGGATTGCATGCAGAGTATGAAAAACGCCAACATTGAAGATACATTTTAAAAATGATATAACAGGTCTTTGCAAACTATACGACGCTTATTCATGATGACTCCGGATTACACTCAAAAGTATGTACGCACCGAATTAGTAAAAATTTCCGATCACTAGGGAACTGAAGGAACGCCGTTCCCATGATTCCTTGAGTGCGGACCGCGTCGCTTTGGTGATTTAGCAAATGATCCATTAACGTCAAAAGTGCAAGCCACTGCGTCTTGTCTTGAGGTGAAACGAAGGATGCGAACCGCTGAATTTCAGGCGCAAGGCAAGAATGACTTTTGAAAGCAATTTACAGCTATAATTAGTCTAAAACAGTCCAATGAATAAAATAACCCTTAGAAAGGAGCTACGTTGTTTGACTCAAATCGCTTCCATGCACAGAACGATGTCCGCTACATAATCGTACTGTTACCAGGTGCTACGAAGTGTGTTGTTTTACGACATTTACCGACGTACACCTCCAATGTTCCGATCTTTAGTACAAGATTTGGTGTCAGTTTGAAGCTTCGATGACCAAATTCACATGATCTTAAATAAGTTATATTTTCCGGTAAACTACCTGACTCGTCCATGCGTCGCTTGGAGCTTCCAGTGACCCGTGTCGAAATGTGAAATCCTACAGCCCCATGTTTTCTTTTATTTTTCTTTATTTTTATTTTTAAGCATTTAAGTAGCGTTCCGTGCGCCCATTTTATCTGGCATGCTTGGAAAACGAATTTACGCATTCACGCACAAATGAGATGAAAGCTTGTTTGAATGCTTGCCACTGTAAAATTGCGTTACTCTCACTGGCAACAATTTTGCTCAAAGTAAGCAAAGACAATGAACCCCCCTGACTCTAAATTACCAGACAAATTAAGCTATTTAGAATTTACAAATGTAAACTCGAGAATATTTTAGACCGCCGGAAAAACCGCCAACAGGACTTGAAATCCGCTAAGAAATCCCGCCGCCCGCGATACGGCAATTTATTCTATTAAACAACTCAGAAAACTGCTAAATTTAAGGGGAAGACCACTTTATTGGCAGCACTAATTCTTTCTACTACTATAGGCTAGGTGGCGCAAGCTACTGCCCGTTTTGAAGGGTACAGCCATTAGCATCCATCCATCCATTAATCCATCCATCCATCCAGCTGCAGTCTCATCGTCTGCTGAACAATAGTGAGGTGCTCAAGACTCTCCACACCCTGAATGCTTTTCTCAAGCTGTCAGTGACTCTGTTTACAAGCAAACGGGGTTGCTTGCGCTCAACGCCTAGCTCTGTTTGTATGTAATGTTGAGAGGACCTTACAAGTCGCGTGCGCGTTACGCACACCACATGCACATTGAATGTTCACGCACGGAAAGCCTTGTTTACTGGGGAGATGAACCTTGACAAAATGACCCTTCAGAGTGACGACACTTCAGCTTTCGGATGGATGGATGCTAACGGCTCTACCCTTTACAACGGGCGGTAGCTTGCGCCACCTAGCCTAGAAAGTCCGTTGACAGTTTTCTGAAGCTTTGAAGAGTGTGTGCTTTTCGTTTTCAGACCCTTTGAAAGTGTCATTCTTACTTTTGTATGTGCCGGACCACGTAATTTTTAACGAGTCTTTTAATTTACAACGCAGTACTCAAAGACAACTTTTCTTGGCTATGCAGTCAAAGGTATGGGCAGGCGTGCCCTCTCCCCTCTTGAGCGCTGATTAAAGCTGAGCGCGCTCTCTCCTCCTCTGCGCTGAAATGCCAAGAGAAGTTGTCACCAAGTATAATTTTCTTTACACCCCCCCCCCCCCCTCCCTCTTTGCTGGTCTAAGCTCGATTTTCTTGATACTTTATGCTCAGAAGTCTCTCATCGTTTCACTGCAAGTAGGTTTCTTTAATTATATCAGTTGAGAACATAGCGGGGAACGTAGAAATGACAGTCAAACTCGAAAAGACACGGGCGCAGACTCAAATATTGGAATGAACTTGCCAGATCAAAGAGGTCTCATTCTTACCGACGCCTTGCCTCGCCCTTGGGTTCAGGTCAGAGACAAACAGGGACCTCTTCAGCGTAAGGGGACAATTTTGGTTTAAAGCTTTTCCCCTTGAACCTAACGAATATAGAAGTGGCCATAACGCCACGTGAAATCACTGTGCCTGTCACAACTTAAAGCTCATAGATTTGTCCTCTACGTCTTACTAAGTAATGACCATTGCTGGAGAAGTTCTGGTTGAGGGGTAAGTCACAATGTTGCTGAGTGCGTAACTGCGTGTGCGACGAAGTGTTATCAAAGGGCAACAGGTGAAGAACGCAGTAGATGTTCCGCTTCGAGCTCGCTTTAGAAGCGGAACATGTACTGCGTTCTTCACCTGTCGCCAAGTTACACGGTTCCAATGACTTTTCAAATGTCCCACGATGTCGTTGCGTGCTGCGCTCACCAACGATGCAGTTTCCGACCCGGCAAATATATCGACTCTGTCACAGCTCCATTTCGATTCAACAGACGTCTTACAAGAGAGTTTGTGCCGAAGCAGAAACAGGTTATTTATACCCTGTGTCGAACGAAGCCAGTGCTACACCTGCGAACATGTTGTCTTGAACGACGCTTTCACTTCAAGTTCTCAGCGCGCGTGCATAACGGGTCCGCTTGAAACGTTGCGATAAATCTTGTCGCTTCTTCTTCGCTCGGTGAAACGGAAAATATTGGCCTCCTGAATACGAGTACCGGAAACCGTAAAACGTCGCAGTCATGGGCATCATCTTGTAAGAATCTTAGGGTTTCGGGTCCCCATAGCCGTATTACGGTTTGGTTCGAACCGACCTTTGGGAATGGAAGCGTGTAACTATCAACGTGGATTTGTGTTTTTGTTAAAGCAAGTGTGAGAGGTAACTGTAATTTCAGGAACTTACGCGTTACACCCTAAATTTGACTACATTTTTATTTATTTATTTACTTATTCGACACCCTCAGCGCTAGAAGCACTACAAAAAAAACGTAAATTACGTAAAAAAAAAAAAAAAAAAAAAAAACCAGCAAGACATGTATTAAAAACGCTTACACCACCGTAAGGTGAAACACAGCGACAGCTGAGGTGTGACGTCCTAGCCGCTAAGGTGTCATTTCGGAGCAGATGGACTGAAAAAACAGTAAAGGTGCGAGCGCGTGCTATAGAGTCCGCACATAGACGTTTCGTATTACACCGAGTAACACACCGGACAAAAATTCCCTAGTGTTGTGGAACCAATGAGGGTGGATTAAGTAGACAACATTTAAACTGTTTGCGTAAGAGGGGCGCTTGTTTTCGTGCGTCACTTTGGTACAAGTAATCACGCGTGCTCAACGAAAAGTGCCGAATAAACAGGGACGAGGAAATAGACAAAACGGAGTGCACTCTCAAATGAAGGTTTGTTCAAACAAACACACACTATTTTAATTAAAACCATCTTTCTGCTATTCGTTTACTAGAAAACAAATCTGTATTTGTCAGGTGCATTGACGGGGCACTACCGCATTTGTTTTCCCCTTGCTTTCTGATACAGAATGCATCGTAAAGTCCCGAGGCAGTTTTATTTGCGTATCTCCCGAGAAGTGTTTGTGCTCACATGGGCACCTATCCCAGTGCACAGGCTGATAGATT